AATAGGAGGGGGGACAAGACCAACCCCTGTGGCACCCCACATGTTAGGGGCCTCGGGGACGATCTCTGCCCACCCACCAACATCACGGTGGGTGATGTCATCACGGACCTTCTGCCCATGTGCAGAAGGGTCTGCCCATGCGCAGAAGGTCCTGCCCATGCCCAGACGTGTCACGAGTGAGCATAGCAAGCGCTCCCGCTACCGAACTGGTAGTAAAGAGAATAAAATACCGTTACTGGATGAGATCCTTCCCTCCCACTCTGTGTATGTACACGCACACATGTGTGTGTGTGTTTTCTATTCAGTTAAACACATACATACGCCATCTCCTTCGCCCCTACCTTATCAGTGATATCCTCCTCCAGGCACTCGGAGCCCTTCGGGAAAGGTGGTTCTCTATTATCCATCGAAAAGCTTCCCGTCTGATGCAGGTGTCTGTAAGCAAGAGAGAGGGTTGCAAACAGAAGCAAGGTTACCACCATCCCAACCAACGGCATGTAACCAGTGCAGGCTTTCAACAATGAAATCATATCGCGTCTCAAAATTTCATGGCTTGGAGGCTCCCCTTCTATGGGGACCCTCCAGATTTTTGGGGGGTGGTCGACTAAGAAGCCCTGAAAGCAATCCAGTCCGTTTTAAGTTCGCTCTAGGACTAGAGTGAAAAGCACAAATTGATAGAACTTTACCCTTTCATAACTTTTGCTCTTTGGAATATGGGATGAGCAAGGTCTCGCTCCCACACTTCTCTCCTTTTTCGTCTTTTGCCCAAGGAGAAACGTGCACACTTCCAAAGCAATAAACCGAAAGGATTCAGGGGTAGGCTGAGATGTAGCAAGACAGTGAAATAGCTTTGCCGGGACCAGCACCGGAGGTTAACTGGACTTCTACCACGTAACCCAGCCTCTGTGTTGTAGTCCAAAGTCCACTGTTTTATGGCAAGTCCTTTGGACCAGACATCTTATCAGCCGCTAACTAGCAATACAATTTTATCACTACACAGGTGTTCGGTGATAAAGGACCGAGATTGGTACAGGTAGTTCTCAACGTATGGACACAACTGAGCCCAAGCTTTCTATTCTGCTAAGCGAGAGATCTGTTAAGTAAATATTGCCCCATGCCTGGGGCAAGGATACTGCAAAACCTCCATTCCCTCCTCACTCCAGGGAAAGGATACTTCAAAATCTCCATTTCCTCCCCATTTCTGGGGGAATGATATTGCAAAATCTCTATTCCCTCCCCACTCCTGGGGCAAGAATACTGCAAAATCTCCATTCCCTCCCCACTCCCGGGGTAAGGATACTGCAAAATCTCCATTCCCTCCCCACTCCAGGGGAAGGATACTGCAAAATCTCCATTCCCTCCCCACTCCAGGGGAAGGATACTGCA